GAAGGAAAGTACATTTGAGGCTGTTGAGCGTGAACGAGTAACGGAGGGGGAAGGAACAAATGGGGGTGGTGGAGGGAGTATTGGCGGTGGCCGGCTGCGCTTGTAATCGGAAAAGAGGGAAGCGGTCGTGGCCGAAAACACGGAAGCCTGCTTCAAACGAGCGTCATTTAACAAGCGTCGCTCGGGCGCGCGCAAACCGAAGGCCTGATTTTTCCGGATCTCATTAGCCGCGCGAGTGCACACGCTGCCATTATAATCCCCCGTCGGCGCGCACAACCAGCGTTGACTGCACTAATTGCGTTTGAAGTACAAAAAGAAGGAGGACAAATAAAAGCCGGGCCGTGGAGGGAGAATGGAGGAGGAGGAGGAGGAGGAAGAGGAGGAGGGACAAAAAAAAAAACGAAGGGGGTAGAGGGAACGGTTCCGCTTGCTCCACGTTTGCCACGCTCTGCTCGCCGTGCGAAAGCGCACAAAGCTGATTGGCGAGAACTCGCGGCGCGTTATCGTACCACCCGTCGATCCGTTGGTTTTGCGGATTTCCAGTTTTTCGTCGCTCACCACCCGCGTTGAAAATATTGTATAATACTTTGTATTTCGAGCCCTGCTGTTTTTCCATCCCTTTCTTTCTCTCTCCCTCTCTCTCCGTCTATCCGTTTTCATCCCCTTTTCGCGTGGAAATATTATCCCCCAGTTGTAATGCGGATAAAAAGGAGGGGAAAAATGAGATAGCGCGCAGTTGTTGGAACTGCTTTGAGAACATCGATTCCCATTGATCTCACCCCGGGATTCGCGTTTTCGATGGACTGAAATTCGCTGGGATAAAAAAAAGATAAAAAAAAAAAAAGGAACGAAGAAATTAAAGAATGTGGAGGGTTGGAGATATATATATATATATATATAAACGAATTACGATATTCGAATCGAAGGTACGCAGCTCTCACGGGCCATTCTCACAGAATGTCTCGCGTAATAAATCCGATTTCACATTTCGAGCTCATTGTCCCGTGCAAGAATTATTATACGTCGTATAACGTGGGTCGTGCCTTTATTCTATACGCAAGTATTTTGACGTCTTCGTTATTATTACGAGGTCGAGAGATCTCTCGGTTCGCTTTCTCATCCTCGATTCACTACTACGTGCCATTCTCGCTCTCGTCACTCTCCGACCACCGACAATTTACTCTCTCACCTTTCACGCCGCAATCACAGTTCCGTCACTCGTCATTTCGCGCCCCGTGCCCCACGCAACCATCACTCCTCCGGCAACCTAGCGCCTAGTCAACGCTCGATCCCGTTGGCGCGGGATCGAGGGGTAAAATCGTCATCAATTACGACGTCGATCACGACCGACGGGTGTAAAACCGATTCTTCATATAAAGAGAGAGAGAGAGAGAGAGAGAGACGCTGCTGCGTTCGTCCCTGCTATGGATACTTCACACTTTCGAACGATGAAAACGATATACGTAACGATTGCACTGAATTTATCGCGCGAAATATAAATATTTAAGTTCCGGTTGAATTGAATATGACGCCGCCACTGATAATATAAATCGTTCGGCGCACAATAGCCGAACCAACGTTTGGCTTTTATACATAGTCGGACGTAATAGACAGGCGAATTAATAATTTTCCCAGTTTTACGAAGTTGGCGCAAACTCCGCTCCGCTAATTAATTGTCCGCCTTCGACGTCCAGGTGGGATGAAACACGCGATAACCGGCTCGTAACCGGATCGACGATTTTCCCGTTCTACCAACCGGGAGTAGAAACCTCGGTTACGAGGGGTTGACCCACTTCCCTTCAACCTCTTTCCACGAAAATCGATCCATGCTCCTCTCCTCTTCCCTTTTTCTGACGCTTTCAAATTACCGCGGGAGCCTATCGGAAGCGTCCGCTCGTTAAAATTCTGTTGCACCGACCGAGAGTGCCGCCGCGGCCAGCCGGAGCCCTGTTTGAACTCGATTAAAACGAGATTTCGCGTGTTCCCGGCGAACGATCGAACGAGTAATAAGAGAGGAAGAAGGGAAGAAAAAGAAAGAAAAAAAAGAAAGAAAGGAAAGAAAAATCCCGAGATTCTTTCTCTCCACCGCCGAAGCGGTGGGAGGAAAAGCCAACCACCCACGAGCAAGAGCAAACACTCCTCCTTTCACGAGACCCGATTTCACGACACCGACGAATCGCCTTCGTTTCTCTCCTACCCACGACGAGGTAGAAGGGAAAAAATAAAAGTTTCTCCAGGAGAGAGATTCACGGAGCTTGTACCCGAAGCGTGAATCATAACCGATCCAAAAATATTCGCCGAAACGGTATTTGGTTGAACGTAAATCTTGAAATATTCCTTTCGAACCTCCTGTGTTAAACATCAACCCGTTTTCACGCGGAACCTCTTCGAATTGGAAAAACCTCTTCTTTTCTCGCCGCGTTTTATATCGCGCAGAGAAGGAGCGACGTCGAAGCGGCGGCTCCCTGCCGTCGAAATAAGTTTTTCTTCGGTGGTGAGAATTTTTTTTCGCGGCTAAAAGGCGGTGGTAAGCGACGAAAAGAAAGGAAGGCGGCGGGACACGGGATAAAGCGGGAGAAAGCGAGGGCGAGGGAGGAGAGCGAGGAGACGAGAAACAGGTTGACGCGCGAGGATGGCTTGAAAAGCGCAAAACACTACACGCGGAGGCCTGCACACAGCCTCCCTCGGCATTCCTGCCGCCGCTCCGCCTCCCCCTTTTCGCCGTCTTCGCCTCCTCTTGTCTTTGTGAAGCGGTAACGCCGGGTTGCCGACCTTCCCTCCCCCCGGTCCACCTTCTGTCCTCCGTCTTACGCCGTCGTCCTTTGCCTCCCCTTTACCACCTGCTCGATGCTCGCGCCTCATTCTCGCGGGTCTCGGAATGCACTCGTCGCTCGTCTTTTCTCTTCCCCTCATTCCACCGATTGTTCCGTCCGTTCCGCTGCTCACATATACCATCCGCACACCGTTCTCCCTCCACTCTCCTCCACCATGGGAAGAAATATTTCCACGTCCGGCCAGAAGTCACTCCATGATGGTATTATTCGTTTTGAAAGGGAATGGATTTTCGATACGCGGACGATACGCGTGACGACCGTTCTTCGATTCTTCCTTCGATTCGAAAAGTATGAGGAAAAGAATTTTTACCTGTCGCGTCGTATTTTTTTTTGAACAAGGTGGAGATTGATTTCTAATTTACAGAAATGTATGGCGTTAAACTTTCGTGACCCGATATTCCGTAAGCCTAGCCATATCCCGGGGAACGATACCCGTTTCATCGGGCAGGTTCGTCAGAAGGGTTGTGATCGATAAACCAATACTCGGTGTCGATATCGGAACGATATCGAGTATCTTTCTTAACGAGCGTGGACTTATATACCTCGCAAGTGTATGCCTTCCTTCGATCGTTAAAAAAGGTTAATAGAAAAATAAATTCCGAAAATATGCAAGAAAAATCCTTCTCCTCTTATCGTCTTACATATTTTTTATTCGAGGGAGAATCTCCAAAAATCCACCCGTTTCGATCGTTACGCAAAGTTTTATCCCTTCGAGTTCTCCGGATACGAGCAGCGACCACTTCTTTAAAGAAATCTTTAAAGCAATCCCCTATCTCTTTGACCTCTTTGAAATCATACCGAGGAGGGGAGGGACAAGGATATTATCCGGTTAACGTTATCGAGATCCCAGGCAACGGGTCGAATATAGCAAGATTCCTTCGTTCGTTCGGGAACGACGGCGAAGCGCGGCAGGTTTTCGTTACATTGAGAACGCGCTTGTACATTCTTTAACGCGGAATGGGCCAAGATTTTAGAGGCTTTTACGGCGAGAGCTTCTTGCGGGTCCGAGTCGTTAAACAGCGCGTGATTTCGGCCCCTTTTTTATTATCGGACATCACGGCTGCGCGAGAGGGAGGGAGGGACGGAGCAGTATCGAGGCCTCGAGGCGAGCTAAGAGGGAGGGTGGGTGTCCATTCTGAAAAAGATCACAAATTCAAACGAAGCGACGCGATAACTTTTCCGCGGGACGTTTATTACGCGGTCGTAACATGCGCCGACTAACGGGCCTACCTGGTTGCAAGCCGACTTAATTGCACGGAAACATCGGGATCGCATAATGAAGAGGTCTCCTGAAAAGGTATCGAGAAGGTGTGCGCGAATTTCGATATATATATATATCTCTCTCTCTCTCTTTCTCTCGTTTCGAGATCGTTTCGAGAAGGCAGCAGCCGGGATTAAAAGCGTCGAAAGTCGAGACGTCACGCGAATTATGCGTATCGTTCCTGCGGACGAGGAAGGTGGCTCGTTCCCGTTTCGTAGCTCGCTTGTTGCTCGATTTCTCGGAGAGCGTGGGGAACAGAGACATCTGTTCTCAGGAAATTGTCTTAAGCCCGGGGCTACCGGTGGTGATCGATGGACCGGTCATAAATTTAAACTACAACTTTTATGGTTCTTTAAAGACTGTTTCGTACATTTGCCGCCCGTATTCGCGCCCTCTCCCTGATGAAACGAGAAATCTACTAGAGTAGATTTGTGCCGTTTTAGAAGATTCAATGCTACATTTTTTTCTATATAAAATTTTGTATAATAAATAAGTTTTATACATTATATATACCTGACGGCAAAATGTGTATACAAAAGAAGCTTTATATCATCGAATATTATAAACATAATTGCAATCAACGTATAGCTGAAAATATAGAAGAGTATCGAAGCCGCAAAAGGTTATCGTCACCTGGAAAAGGGTATCGATGCCATCACACCTGTACTAAGGGTTTAGTTACAGGTTGGTCAAATCGAAGGGGGAAGGGACGCACGGCGTACACGGCGCATTAAATTTGTTCGGTTTTAAGCGAGCATTGTTGCGTGTCATCCTTCCTCGAGGGAGGAAGAGCTCGTAACCGGTTTTAATTAACATAACAAACACCATCGCGCGGAGGTGGATGGAAGGAGCGAGCGTCGATGAGGAGGAAACCGCGGAATCGTATCCGTGGCGTGATTCGCGAGGAGAAAGAGAAGAATCCCCCCTCGGCCAATTAAAATCGCGAATGGTCGCGCGCCCCGTTATTGCTATCGACTCGGCTCGGACAGAGTGGCTAATTTGAATCGTTCTAATGAAGAGGTCTTTCGCGATCGAACGCGCGACCAGCCGCGCAATTTAATCGGACACGGTGTGTGGTCCCCCCGAAGGGGGCGGTCGAGACGCGTGTCCGCGAAATCTTCCAAAGTCGCGCCGCTTAAACGGGCCCCTTCGTTTAATTGCAATTTATTACGCGCCTCCTACGGGACGAGAATCGCGCGCTACCCTCTCGATTTCACCGATCGAGCCACTCGAGAAAGAATTCTTCCTCCTCCTCCTCCTCCTCCTCCTTCTTCTCCTTCGTCTCGAAACGTTCGCGCGTTCCTCTCTCGAAGAACGAGGAATCGCTCGAACGGAGAGATGTATATACAGGGTGTTCCAGATAAAAATTCATGGCCTCTGGTGTATATATATCGTATACAATACACGTTATGGATTCATTTTCGTTTTCGAGACACGGGACGGGTGATTAGATTCATACGTCTTCAATTTCGTACGAATATACTCGTAGAAAAATTCATCCGTAACGGTAGATCATGCTATTATAAATGGATGGTCATCTTGTATAAATGGATATATATAAAAAATAATTTCGAACGAACGACTAAAAATTAAAAATAACTCGAGTACTAATCGATAATATTTTCCACGAAGAGCGACCCCCCTCCGAATATGTTCTCGTTTTTATCCGATACACCTTGTGTACCGGTATCCCTATTCCTCCCTCAAGAACGAAGAAATGCGAAAACAGAGGATATAATCGTGTGTGTACGCGTATTGTATCCCTCATTCTTCTCCCTTCGAACAATGTAACCGGCTTTAATTGCGTCAGCTAAGGCCACCCTTTCCTCGCTCTCGACTGCCAGGAATCCGAGCGATCCTCTCCCATCCGCCCGACCGATCACGGCGAGCCGTGAACTCGATCCGCGAGACGCGCGTACCTGCAACAGATCCCCCCTCTTCCCTCGCCCAGGAATTATCGTGGAACGATAACCGGTTAACCGTAATTCAATTATCGCGTTAATTGCAGCCGAGCATCGATCTCGGTGCTCTCCGTTTACCCTTATCCGATCGTTTCTATCGTTTTTCTCTTTTTTTTTTTTCTTTTCCCCTTCTTTTTTTATCTTCATTGTTGTACGGGACGGCGTTGTATACAGGAGAGGTCGGTCGACAGGTTTCATTTTGCGTCCCGATTTTCAATATTTCTCGTGTGATTCGTGCAGTCGGGTATTGATTCGCGGGGGTACGGGTGAATTTTGCGATTGTACGAGGTTTATTATTTGTTGGATTGACTGGATGCAATTATTACGTCAACGCTTGGAAAAAGTGTACGTATGAATAATAGTGGTTACTAACAGGTAATTACGCGCCTTGCAATTGGTTCACACAAAATTGGTAATTATCTATTGTGGAAGAAGTGAAAAGAGCAGTTTTCTACTTTCGAAATATCCGCCCAGATATCGAATTTTTCGTTTTTCCTTTTTTTTTTTTTTTGTCCCAGAGACAAAAAGCTTTCCAACGAGATACATTGTATTACAAATCGACGTTTCGATCGGCCCCGATTATTGCTTTACATTTCCATAACCCTGTGTTTCCTGTTAAATTCTATTCGGGCCCTTCTTTCGCCAACCGATAATATATCGAATAACCTTTCCAAACTATACGCACGGAACAATGAAAATATCGCAAAGTAATAACAACGTCCCGATAACGTCGAGAGAAACCGCTGATGCCTCGCCCGCCATCCTTTCGAATTAATCCTCGTTATTAATTACCCGACCTCATTCATTCCCTGATCATCGACGACCCTTCATCTAATGAACCTTCTTCGATTCGACTCGTTCGACTCGCGGAAAACCGTGTCCACAGGAATCCCATTTTTATATATACCGAGATGAAATAAACTTCAACTCGTCTCGAAAGACGATCGAGACGCAACGAGCAAACGTTGAAAGGCGTCGAATCTCATAATCCGATCTAGGTGGCGGAATTCATCGTCGCGGCCAAATTAATTAAAGTTGCGCCGCCTATGTAAAAACGCGCGACAATGCCACAGAGAGGGCAACAAACTTTTTAAATGCGCGATTCGATAACGATTCCGATAAAACCGAGCCGCTTCGGATAAAAATTATTCCCCGACATAGGTGGACGAGGGGGATGGGGGGGTTAACGACGCATTGTGCGAGAAGAGGCGAGGCGAGGCGAGGCGAGGCGAGTCGGGTCGGGTCGGGTCGAGTGGAGTCGCGAGAAGTGGAATCGGAACGCGCGGTTTTAAGCGAGAATTACGAGATGGTAGGGGAGGCGGGGAGGGCAGTTTAAAAGATAATTTGGACGGTTCGCGCGCCGGTCTCGTCCATTCCGCGGAACAGGAAGAGGAGGAGAAGTTTTCGCAGTTTTACGATTTCGATTTTATCGGCCGGTTAGCCGGGCGAGCGCGAGCACTATCGTTATACATTTTTAGGGGGCGACTTTCGCGCGATAAAGGAAACTGCTGTATTCTCGAGGCCGTTTCAGGGAGGAGGAAAGAGAGAGAGAAGAGGGGGAATATAGTGTCGGTGTAAAAACGCGGAGTGGATCTGGAAGGGTTTCGAGCGAATCGAGGCGAGGATTTTACGTTCGTATCGTCGAAGAAGTTTAGAGGGATGTAATTTTTTCCAGAGGATTTATCAACCCTTCCAATGGAAAATGTCTTGGATATCTATATCTTCGAGATTATTATCCGATATTTAGATTTTGCATCGGGGAAAAACTGGAAGAGAATCCAAGAAATATTGAATCGCGTTAAAAATATATTTTTAATCTCATAGATAAAAGATAGACGATCAATTTACTTTCTCGTGATTCTTGAATATCGCGTTGAATAGGTTTACGTTTGCACGTTATATATTTATATTTCGAGTTAAATATCATGTTTTATAATCCTAATCCGACGATTTTTCCACGATTATTTCGTCGAGAAGGTATAATCCATTTGGAAGTTGGTCTCTCGAACCGAATTGTCGCGGCCGATAACGATCTTCTTCCCCATCATTTACGAGAATTCCGTCCATGTTCCGCGGATGCTCTACGAGGAGGAAAACACGTGCTCGGTTTCATTCGATCAAGAACGCGCGCGCGTATCAATTTCTCTTC